TGCTGAACGTTGACAGTTCCGACTTAACGGCACATAATAATTTCTGTAACCTTGGTGTCGGGTAAAAAGATCGCCATTTGCCTTGTCGATGTTGGATACAGTCAAACAGCTGTAACCAATCTCTGTCAAACTACTGCATCACTGTCTTTATACCTCTGATGCCTGCGGGGTGGTAGACTGACGGTTCTTTTGCTGTACATCCCTAACCTCTGTACACCCGGGTGCGTCCTACGGGAAACCAAAGCATACCTAGTTGCCATTGATGTCCTAGACGCCACTTGATGATGTGATTTTGTCAAGACTGGGTTTTCCTTTATCAGGTGAGGTACGGCTAAGGAAGAGACATTTTGGTGGGTATGCTATGGGACGCATGAGACGACACAAGACTGAGTGAAAGATATCAGATTGAAGAGCCAATAACAGGCATAAAACAGAAAACGGCTGAAAGATGGTACATACCTCTGACAGTTGTGACTAGTGCTTTGGTGAACATGAATTCATGTTGAAATGGTTCATCCGATCTGAACAGGCTAAACTTCTCCAGCTGTATTAGTAAATTAGTCAGTCTGATCATCACTCCGCTGTTGTCAAAAAGGGTCCCTTCCTAGAGCATTTCATGGAGGAGAATTTGAGTCCAGGATATTAGTAGCTTGGAAGAAACCCTATGGTGACTCGCATTTGTTCCCATAAAACGTAGGTTATCGGCACTTTGAAACAGACGGCATCGTTATAATAGCTTTGAACCTGCTATTAGCTCATTTGGTTGTCGTTGCCATTGTGTATATCGACTGCGTACTACATGTAGGATGTTTTTGTTCATGATTCATTGCGTTTAGATGTCCACGTGCATATTTGCAACTTGGCTGCTCAAACGGGAGTCACGCGCTTTCTGGAACAAAATCCTCACTGGATGTAAGTGAATTTTTGGTAGAGTTTCTGTTGTTATGAACACTTTTTGATATGTAAATCGATTTTGCCTCAGTAAGAAACGTGTTTGACAGCTCAGTTGCCCCTGAAGTTGAAGGTCATTCCAGTGTTTTCGTTTTCCGATGTTTTGACACATGGATGGAGTACTTTGTGAAAGGATAAGTTTTGGGGAACCAGAATAATCTTATTGTGGCCTAACCAGTTAAACATCAGATTTCTATAAAGGAGTGCTTGATATCGCCGCCATCAGTCATGGTAGCCTAGCAAGCCGTATAAACTAAGTGGGACGCGGTCGGTTGGTTTTAGTGTCTACATATTAGCCCCTATCGAATAAGTGACACTGACTGGTGCATTTATAACGTGCGCCCAGACGAAGCATATTTACTTGCAAATATAGTTTCACAGTATTACAAAATGGATGACTCCTTTGAACACGACTATTAAGGACTAGGTGTGGAACAGCTAGGCCAGCCCCTGGAACCTATACTTTGACCGTAGTAACCTCCACACTTACTCCTCCCCACAAGGCCATCTTGCCATTCATTACATAGTCCCGTAAAAACCAGCTGACCGGCATAGTTGAATCAAGACAGTCGCATGATTCTGTTGGGGATCTAGTTATTTTCACCAACATATGCCCGATTCAGAGTACAATGCGTTTCCTTACCATTGGAAGAGTATGTCCTATATCGTTCAGCTGTAGAACCCTTTCGGTGCCTAACTGCATGCCACCTGAAGGTTGCACGAGGGTTGGGACACTGTCAGGTTGCCCAAGCCTAGACAGGGGTAGTCGAGAGGTAGTGGGTTCGAACTACGGACCTTCCGGTCAGTAAACTCGCGCTTTGACCACTTGGACCATCTCGTCTTACAGGATCTACTTTACTATCCCGTTTATTTGCTTCCATTGGACTAGTGTTGAGCGCGTAAACAATTAGATGCTTTAATTTTTCATTTGTTATCGAACTGACTATACCGACCTGTAGCACCTTATAATGTCTAACTTGCACAGGTACCATGTGCAAATGAACCTACAACACAGGGCTTGTTAGGCAAGTGGTGGTACCTGGCGCCTCGATGGACACTCTGTGGGTGTTGAAAGATTGTAACCCCTTTTGTTGAAGGGCAGCGACAGATAATGCGGAATTCTATTCAAGATGAACTCGGTCCCGAACTCTCTGTACCATACTAGGACACGGATACTTGGTTTGTCTGCCATAGAGAACAGTCCAACAAAGATATCACTTACCTATATATCGTGAAACCTGACATGCGATATCGCCGGTTGGCGAGTCATGGTCTCCAATATATATATATATATNTATATAATTATAGCGTAAATAATCGTCCAGCTGTCACGCTATTTTGGCGCTTAGTTGCCATGGCACTCATAGGGAGCACGCGGACTCCTTCGTTGCCTACGCCTAGACAGTAGTCGAATAGGGTCGAACCACTGACCTTACACACTGCCCACAGGAAAATCGGACCACGATTTTTCAGGTAAATGCGGTCGGTTTGTTGCTCACTCCTCCGGTCGGAAGAATGGATAAGTGCTCAAAAATGCTGACCATTCGCATCCCCAGTCCATTGTTTTCCACTGAGTTGGTACAAGCTAACATATCTTCACTCAATGGCTCCTTGTCCTGGATAGCCAATAGGACAGTGAAAACCGCTGTAGCGTAATCCTTTCCCCAGAAGTACTATATATTCGGTAGTCCTGGATCGTTTTTATCTTGAAATGCGACTGGTTTTGATGTGGAATTCATGACTTTATTCTTCATGCACGTTTTCCACTCAGATATAACAAGACAGAACATATCGAAAATGATCTTCGACTATTGGAACTAGGCCAGTTTACACACCTCATATCGGAAATCAAACCGGAACAAATGCGACTGGAATCATCACTGTTCAGTCCACTTTTTACAATCCACAGCTTCAATGGTATTGTTATTAAACGTTCATGGAAGATATGGGAACTGGTGACCACTCAATTAACTCCCGCGATCACTGTTTACGAACGACAGTGATTTTATTGGAGTACGCACACGGGTCCCTGCATACTTTTATTACTTTTGTACATTTACCGAAATATTCTATACATCGGGTTCAGAGTCAGAAGGTATATTTATCTGAGGTACAGTAGATATGGTGGGCTTAATGAAGAAACAGGAATGATTGTCTAGCCTGGCACAAAGGTCCTTTAATCGCTTGCATCTAACTAAATGCTCTGAGATAGCCATCTTCAGTTCCACATCGCTTTGAACTTCGTCTCCATCGAACGGGATCATCGTGAATGGATCTATTGGTCTTGGATCTGCACCGGGCTGTATGTCCAACCGTTCTGTTTGAAACCGCACAAGTGTAGTTCTGTCAACTCTGACTCCGGAAGGTAACCGGACAGGGTTATTCATCAGGTCACCGGTTATTGGATCCAGGAAGTCCTCCGGAATTTGGAAACTTTCATCATCCAGGGCTCTATCTGGGGTTTGTTGAGAAACAGGATCTAGGAAGACAAGATAAACAATTAGGCGGACAACCATAGTCTATCTTTACATATTTCTCTTTGGAATCTCATTCATGCCATACCAGTATCCTATCTTAAGTGCCAGTTTTCTAAGGTTAGCTTCAACAGTTCCGATTTGGAAACTGCAACTCACCAGAATACCTCGGTACAGGTATTTCTGGTCTATGTGATAACCCCGATCCGGGGAAAACATTTTTAGACATAGCAGCCCATTTAGAAATGCCCGCCGGGACAGCGCCGTTTCATTAGTGCATCCACTAGCACGAAGACATCAGCTAACAACCGAGATTATAGCTGGTTTTACCGTATTCGTGCCAATTTAATACTACTGATGGAGCACAAGTCCCAGAAATAGTGGACAGAAAGTAAAAATATTTGGTTAGAGCTTACGAGGCCCCTTGACCGGATGATGGCCGACCGTAGTCGAATTGCGGGGGAATGCGAAGAGCACACTTATAACTGGCAGTGAAAAGATCAGGTGTGAGGTCCCACGTGGCCGATATGGAACATTTTATTGATTTTGGACAAACACTGTTGCTTCCTAGGCTCATAGTCACAATGTACATCAGATCCAACCAACACCAAGTAGGTGAAAGCGGACGACTGAATTCGCATTCACTGGGTTAACAGCATGAACCAGAGGATCTTATCTGATATGTGCGTACAAGTTTGATGGCGTCTTTAGAAGCGACCAACTCCGAGTTAACTTTTAGTTGAGCGAAACGGTCCACTGCGAAAGTGCAGAAGACGGTAATAAAGACTTTTTGAGCCAGTATGCTAGTCGGCCAGTTCTTAGGGAATGTGCTCGATTTGTTTCGTTCGTAATAATTTTCGTGAGTTGGAACTCTGATTGACAAACTAAGTGCTTCCCAGTGCTAATGGGATTGTGGATTGCAGTTGAACAATCAGTCCAAACACTAATGTCCGCCCGCGGAAGCACGTATACGTCGAGATAGCACAGAGGAACTAATTTCTGGCGAAGCTCTATATCAACCCATCGTTTCCTTATGTCTGGGCCGTTACTCAGTGACTCTGTTTATATTCTTCGCGAGCCATAAGCCGAAACAACAGTGGAGCGACCTATAAAATCGTCTGTACAGTGATCATCAGGCATGCCAAAAAGATCGAATCACGCATATGCTGCGTCTTCGGTGCATAAGTGCCGTCTAGCCACACCGACAGGATATGCCGGAATGTTGCGGTTAGAATTGAGAGATTTCATTCAAAACGGATTCGTTGGACTCACCGGGTATCATGGGCAGTACAGGTGTGCATCCTGATTCCAGTGGGGTAGAACACCACAGCTCCACCTCTCCCAGACATAACGAAAAACTTGTGTGTGCCATCCTGTTGATACGCAGCAGCACACTGCACACTTTTTGCCGTTCCATCGAGGAAGCTGGAAGATATGAATTAGTAAATACCAGAGCTTACCTCCCGTAGCTTGCACTGCATACACATTGGGCGCGGTATTTAGCATTGACCCAATGGGCACCGTCTGAGTATCTTTCAGACGCACTGCTACGACCGTTTCCGCTGGCTGTTTATCTAGTGCGACGGATACCAAGGGCTGAGCCGATAACCCCAAACAACAGTCCTACCGTAGCTAACCCAAAGTGACGCATCGACTCAAATGGGTTGTCGTGTTCTGTACAAGCACCCCATTTCCTCTTAACTGTTTTCCGACGTGCGAAAATCGAGAAGCTACCCACGCGGTGTCTTCGGACGTATGGCTTGACAACAATAAGATGCAAATCAACAGCTTCGCGGAAGCAAAATAGGATATTCACTGGTGGTGCAATCACCGGAGGACACAGGAATCCACATCCATTAGATTTCAACAGGTTATGCACTGGATAATGCTTTTCCGTCGGCCGGTCACAGTAAATTTTGGTCCCGAATTCAGAATCTGCCACATTAAGCATCTCCGATCCACATTTGACAAGTGGAGTCACGGTCTACATTGACTCAATGCTTGTCTTGTCACTCTACCGAGCAGTAAAGCTGAAAGACGCTAGAAAAATAAAAAGTAAAGCATGTAAATGGAAGTAGTGAGTGTCAGTTCATCGATACTAGTAGTGGTGTAACGTGGACGGTAATCACTATCCACTATAAACTGATAGTTTTCCGAAAGGCGATGATGAGGCACCAAACTAAACACTAGCTGTCATTTACTTTTGTCACCCCATGCCTTTTTAAGCTGATGGTCAAGGTGCGCGCTTGTTCGAATGCTTTGACATCAGTCCACACCTATTTCGAGTTACTGTCTATGGGCCGCCGTGAATTCCTAGACCAGTGTCTGTCTGAATTATTTGGATGGGAAAAAGACTAAGACTACGGTGGGTGAATGGTAATGCCCAACATCGAAAAAGGTGATCGCGCTGAATATGATAACATGGCAACTCTGTAACGCGGCCTCCAGCGTCACCGACTACTTGACGTCTTGCAGTATCACGCAAATTCGTGAGATACAAGCGAGACTTCTATCGTGTGGATTTCGCCCACATATTTCATCAGGTGCCGGAGAAATGCGCACAATCTTGGTGTCCATTGATTCCAAGGTTGCAGTCGACTACACTTCCCAAAAAGAGACGCTACAGAAGTTCGTAAACATAAGCTGGTCCTCACATTCACACAGTTCTTGGTGCGTGAATGTACGGTGTTCGGCAATGATGCCTCGCAAGATCCTAAAAACTCTGAATGTCAGGTAGATAAACCCTGCCGACCTGAAGTATGAGGACGACATAAGGCAAGCACAAATCACAGTTTCACGAATTGATACGCAGAATCGGGGCTTTCGCCCAAACTTCCCGAATCGGGTTGGTTGTTCGGCGGCCACTGTTCACCTGACACGCACAAGCGAAAAAAACTGTAGCACTGCTCTTCAGGTTTTCAGCGCAGGGCAGTAGTCTTGCCAGCGCGGGGACTCAACCAAAAAAAGTGCCTTTAACTTGGTACTAGATGCAGCGTGAACTGTCGAAGGAAGGCTATTCCGCACACCAACTGCCCGAAATGAGTGTGCGCTCTGAGCTTGAAAACTTTCTTACTATGTCCCCGCCGTGTGTTATTTAGTCAACGGTCAAACTTTGTTCAAACAGGGCATACGTAAGTATTAGGTCTCTCTGGAGGCGACGATACTCCAAGGGGAATAGTTTAAGTACCGCGAGACGCGTTTGCCATCGTAATCGACGGATTTACGACCGGTAACCAAAGCAGCACGTTGGACATGATCAATGAGGAGCACATCTTTTTTGCGTCCTGAGCGGACAACTTGGTCGGCGTATGTAAGAATCGGTCTGATATAGGCACCATGTGGTGTCCGGAAATCTGTAACACGGGTAAGGCTCGCCAAATCATTCGTAGGACGGCGAATGCCTTTTGAGCCGACTTTTCATGGTGCAGTGAGAAGGACATGTTTGAGGAGATCAGGATACTTAAATTCTTTTTAGTACCTATCCTCGTAATGTCTTCTGGTCCATTCTCATCACGTGTGACAAAGGCGTTCGCTGAGTCGTCTCCGAATGGCATGGAGGCACTTTTCGTCATTCAGCGGACCACTGCTTTGCAGGGTCCACATCCATTTGGAGGGCACTGGCATTTGAAACCCAGGATTTCAAGTCGTCCGCGAAAAGACGTGGACTTGAAAGAAAGAACTATGGAGGGTCTTCGATGTAGATCAGAAACGGAAGTGGTCCCAAATCAGAGCGTTGAGGAAGTCTAATAAGACCGGCGCCGAAGAAGAGTAGGTCGAGCCTAATGTCACTGAGAATGTTTTGTCAGATGAGAGCGCCTTAATCCAGTACACTCTCACGCGTCCGGAAGTCTGAGAATATAGAGAGCTTATGTTCACAAACTTCCGGGGCATTCCTTGGTGGGCAAATGTGTCAAGAACGGACTGGTCAACGGAGTTGAATTCGACTTGGAAATCTAGGAGTACAGGAACTGTGGCTCAATGATGCGTATGGCGTTGTTCTAGCATCTGACGCAACCCCTACCAGGCCGGAATCCCGCTTGCTGCCCTCAAGTCAGTGTTCCACGAGACACCGTAAGGCGATGAATAAAAGTGAGGCCAGTAGTCCCATTACGACCGGGGTTAAGCTGGTCCTCCTGTGGTTACCACACTCAATACGAGCTCTTCTTTTGAAAATGAGTGCTATCACCAACTGTCCCCATTTGTCTTGGACAGACAAACGCAGGTAAACAGATCAGACAAGCGCTGACTGAGTATGTCACCCCTGTTTTTTTAACAATGCGGTGGCGCTTGAGAGAACATATACAGTCGTAAACCTCCGTGGCCCTAGGTGGTTCCACGTTCACTCTCCAGGGTTCTACGTCAGCTGTGGGCTCTAGATGAGTGGCAGCTGGTGGCACGACAATTGTTGACCGAAGTATCGGGCCCAACGGTTTAGGCGTTCTACTTTATCCGAGATGGTCATTCCATCCCGATCCGATAGCTCAGTGGTTAGAACGCGAATTTACTGGCCGGATGGTCCGTGGTTCCACCTCTGCCTCTCGACTTCACCTGTCAAGGCTTGGGCAACCTGGCAGTATCCCAGCCCTCGTGCTTCCTTCGGGCGGCATGACAGTTAGGGTGCTACAGCTGAATGATTTGTTTTTCATTGCTTGATGGCTTCGCCCAAATGTAGTTTCCGGGGACCGGTCGTATGGATCAACTGAAATAGCCTTCGGGCATTACCGGCTTTCTGGGCCTCTTTCATTTCGCTTGCTTTATGTTCACCACACTTCATGGTAGGCTCGCACGCTCACTTTCACTAGACGTCTGATGATTCGTCGCATCAAGTTATGTTCGGGACCGGCTGCGATATTTCACCCAGATTTAGTGGGTGTCGCTGTTTGGTCTGATATCCAGTGTTTGAGTGGGCCTGGTTGGGCCGTGCCACAAGCTAAATTCCCAGCACTATGCAAAGCCGTCACGAAAAGACTGGACCTTATCATGGCGTGGCGGTTTGTGTACCTGGGCGACCCGTTGAGCTATACTGGGGGGGGGGTGTCCGCATGACACTCACAGAGTTTCTCAGGTTGGTCCTTGGGTAAGAGTCTAACTATCACAGTTTCCTGGTCCTCCAGGTTGGAACATATGTGGCGACGTGTTCCGTAAAAATAGTAATGTAGTTGCATACCCATCCCAACACCGTTGCCTTGCGGTTAGGCTTTTGAACCAAAAGCTTTGGTTGAGGACCCTAATCGTCCACCTGTCTAGATTTGGACGCCCTGGCAGTATCCCAGCCCTCGTACAACCAAGATGTTTACAGATGACAATACTGTCATAGCATATTGGCCGTCGCGTAGTGCCACCAGCCCGATCATCTTACTTGCTGCATACAGCAGGGCGGGTAAACAAAAACATGCTACTGCTGACGCCTCACTTCTTACACTTTCACATTTTTCGTCTTCCACCCTCCCCCGCCCAAATTTGAATACTTTCTCCGCAGGTCCCAGCTCTAGGACTGACCGTTTTGCTCTCCTTGCATCACACAGCCGCAGCTTCTGTACGTCTGAGTTCACTTACAACCCTGTTTCCAACGCCCGGAAGCCTGTCTACTTAGCCACCTTCAATGTTCGCACACTAGGGCAATCAGAACAAGTGGCTCTTCCTCGTACATTGAATTCCATCTGCATTGATTCACGCTGTCTGCCAGAAGCAAAGATACAGGACGCAATTATTCTAATCGGACTAACCGCCCCCTACTCTATTCCAGGTTCCTGCTGCGCGCCTCTGTTGATGCAGAGGCCGTTGCAGCTGGATATGCTGGGGTGGGTATCGTATTGAGCGACCGAGCGGAAGCGTCTTTGCTTCATTGGTTACCGGTTGGTAGTAGCCTCTGTGCGGTTCATTTTGCAACATATGTGAGAGAATCTAGAGAAAATGAGATTCATCGCACATTGTTTATTGCATCTGCTTACGCCCCAACTGATCGTGGCTCTGTATCTGCCAAGGGCAGCTTTATGACTGTCTGGGTGCCCTTTTACAACAGGCTAAAAGCACAGATATAGTTGTGGTTGCTGGTGACATGAAAACCCAGGTGGGTAGATTAAGCGTTGCTGAGGCCCGATTAAGTGGTTGTTTTGGATTGGACAGGAGATGCACGGACAACGGGGATCGCGTACTTCAGATGTGTGTCGATCCCAGACTGTTCCTTTGCAGTACAAATTCCCGGAACGGCGGAAATCGCTTAACAACGTGGTGCCCACCAATAAATCAGCGCCGAATCCAACTACACTACATCTCCGTCAGTTATCGGCGGCGAGTGCCTGTCGCTCCTTCTGGAAAACAGCGTGGACTCAGACAATGCACTTGTACGTTGCTACTTTTTATTGCGCTTTTCAGGTGTACACAAAACGTGCACACCTCGCTTAGCTACCTAGTGGATTCAGAAGTCAAGTAAAGCTATCAGAACCAGCTCCTCAAAAGCCTGCCGGACGGTATGGTGTCGAATATAAACGACCACTGGGAAAAGATTTCCAAAGGGCTACTCAAAGCCGGAACGTCTGTTTGCGGTACAGCCCAGCCAACCTCATCGATGCATTGGGCCTCTGATAGGACCGTGTCTTTGCTGGAGATCCGGCGCATCATCCGACGCCAGACCAAGAAGCTTGGTGGACCCAAAAGGTTGAATAAATGGAAGGTGCTAAGAATGCTAGAAAACGTCCACAAGCTGTTCCATTTAATTCCTTCCACTGGTCCTCGGAAACCTGTTTCAGCGAAATAATCAGAGACCAAAATGGCTCCCTGATATGCAGCAAAGCAGAACGTGTGGACCGCTGGGCACAGTACCTCGAACAGCGATCCAGCTGGTCACCTGCTACCTCCAATCCGGAGTCCTGGCCTTCAACAGAAAGGTGGACCGTACATATGAAGCCGCCCTCAGTGCCTGCGTGTAGTTCTCTACTCAGCCGTAATCGTGCTGCTGGTCCTGACGACCTCCCAACAGCTCTTTTCAAGGATGGTGGTGGACTCCTCAGCCAGTACCTGTCTAGCCTATTTGGGTCTACCTAGAAGAAGGAGACCGTCCCAGACAACTAAAGTGAATCGATAGTAGTGCCTATTTTCAAAAAGGGCACTTGCAGTAAATGTAGTTATCACACAGGTGTTGTGACAAAGCCTCTGGCGTCACTGACTCTTCGTCGTCTTACGGTGGCAGGCGAAGCACTGACTCGTGAGAATCAAGCGGGATTTCGACCGAGTAGAGGCTGTGTTGACCACATCTTCACACTCCGTCAGGTGTTAGAGCAACACCACATGTACAGACGACCCACAATCTTGATATCCCTTGACTTCAAGTGTGCGTTTAGTTCTGCCGATGGATCAGT